CGTGACCGGTATTTCCTTGAAATAGTCCCTCATTTATCATCACGAGGCTGAGTGGACCCGGTTCCAGACCAACTACGTCTCACAAAAAAAAAAAGAAATCTGGTAGCGCTGGGAATCGAGCCTGGACCTCTGGATCTGTAGTCAGGAACGCTAACTACTAGACCACAGAGGCGGTCCAATAATTACCCATTAGGCACATTTTCTCAAATTGGCCTGCGTGGCTCGACGACTGGTCTACGGGCTGAATAGCCAGAGGATCGGGGCTGAGTCTTCACACCCTGCCCAGAGAGCCAATGGGGCCCATTCAACTTCCTATCCAATTGGTACCGGTGTTTCTTCCCCACGTGTCCTGAAGCTGACCATTCATCTGCTGCCGAGGTGAAGAAATATGGAAGTATACCTCCACTTTCCCCTACATCTTCAAGGCGTGGGTCATAATTGATTAAGCACAGGGACAGCTTCCCTCCTTCCGCCTCTTGTTGCTTTCTTAATTTGCTGATGCTTCGGCGCTGAAGACGGAGGCGACGTCTTCCTCTGAGGCGTCGGAATTCTTCCTAAGTACACAGCGTTCCAACTTGGACGACTGCACTCTCCACAGTATCCCTGTGACCTCCTCAAGCCCAGTGGGTTGCCTGGTGACGCTGTCGGTATCGAAGCCGCAGTGTCAAATCCTATGATAAGTGAATTTGAAGGCATATGGAAGCAAGTGGCTGTGACAAGAAGAGGTACCAACATAATAATTTCCTAACAGGACTGAGGAAAAGAACGAGAAAACTGTCACACAGCGGGTGTCAGGGCCGAGATTCGAACAAAGCACCTGTAGAATACAAATCTATAGCTGTATCGCTACACCAACACTCTTGTTGTTGAGGTAAGTACAGTTACTCTAGAATTAGTGATATAAATATCGTGACATGTAGACCTGTTGCTAAGCAACGACGGCAAAAGGAGCAGCTATACAACAGCCGTTGCTTCACAAATAATCATGTTTCCACGACAACAATTACACAGCAATAATGAAATTGCGTTTTCTATGCGGTCCGTTCCAAGATGTAATCAGGACAGTTAGTGAGAGTCAGTTGAACTGAATTGAGCTTAGTTGAGTTGAGTTAATTTGTTGCTGAGTAACTGAGTCATTCAGTTAGTCGAGAGTTGCTGTGGCTGATGATGAGGAGAGTTCGTGAACCCAGGGGAAGGGGAATGTCCGACGTTAGAAACCGCTGCCGAGCAACGACTAGTGAAGACGTGACTCTTGTCACTAGAGAGAGAGAGAGTGTGTGTTTGTGTGTGTGTGTGTGTGTGTGTGTGTGTGCGTGCAACAGTGAACTGTAAAGTGTAGTCATGCGATGTATCGAAGAGTTCAAACAACCCGATCATCAATTCAAACCCTGTCTATAGACACATTCGTACGCGTGACAATACATACACAGCCGTATACTTACTGTTATACACACCCTGGATCTACTTGCATATCACAGAACAGGCACAAAGCAGTATGTAGTACTTACTGTTAGTCACAAAATTAGCAGAAGATGATGTGTGTCCTACTCAAACAGGGGCCCATGTTAAATAAATTCCCAAACACTAAAGTCAAAATGAGTGGATCCCATAAGGCGAACCGATCCTCAGAGGAAGTGGAAGCGGCAGGTTCAGCGCTGAGCTTCCATTCTCTTCACCGCAAGATATCTCAAACTTTCTGAACTACAGAATACAGAATAATTTAAGAAACGCAGCGACATGAATAAATTATTTGTAAGATGAAAGGCCTTCTTCTTTGTTCTTGCAGGATTCTGTGCTACAGACAAAACTCTTTGTACAGAGTCGATACAGAAGAAACTTTCAAAGAGCTCCAGTCCTGGCCCGACACAAACGTTAGTCGTGGTTATTCTCAGCACTCCCAAGCGAACGTCTGCATAAATCGCTATCGCTTGCTGTCACAGCCCTTCACGTTCCCACACTTCGTATCATGATACCTAACCTTAGTGGAGGTCGCGGTAAGAAACACAACTCCTGTTTTGTCTTCCAGAGACAGTTATTCTGACAGGATTTTCGTGGTGTTTCGCCGTCCGTGTGGATAATATCTGTAACGCCGTGGCGGCAGGGGGCGTGGAGGTATCCCACCTTGCCACCATCTTGTAACGCCGTGGTGCAGGTGGGGCGTGCAGGTACCCCTCCTTGCTACCACAGCTTACGCTGTAAGGAGTTAACACAATAATCCTACCTTACTCTCAGCTAGGATTCTCCCGTTTCTGGGCTTCCTTCCTTACTTAAAGCTGCCACCATCTATTATATGTCCTAAGAGAGGTGATGTAAGTACCAAGGGCCGGTAGCGCGGTAGTCGAGCGTCACTGTTTGCTGGCCCTTTCATCCTCGTCACCTCTTATTATTGGCGTAGAGCGGGCGTGTCGGGTCTGACCCGCCTCTACTTATCGTCTGTCATCTCTATGGTGGGAACTACCCCCTGACATATTGTCATAGCTCCCTTTCGGCAACTCGTCATATAGCCTGCAGGTAGCAACGTATTCCATTATTATGATTCTTAAGGGGCGTTGATACCAAGGCTACTAAACGCTGCCTGCGTGGCAGGTGCCTATCCCTGCCCATTCCTAGTATCTCCCCTTAAGCATTCTGCTGCTGTTGCCTTTCACTTTGGTAGGACCCTCGGGATCGGTCGTGGAAAGGTGATTATGGAGGTGTGAATCACAATTCCCTGCATACATCCTACTCTATGTACACTGGTCTATTTACATTGATATTTACTGTATTTACAATGTTTTAATTATTAACAAGGCCGACTTTCAGTCGGGACTACATAGTGGATTTACTTGAAGCTACGCTAGGAACCTCCCCTTCGGGGGTATAAAACTGGAGTCTCTCTCTCTCTCTCTCTGCTTCGACTCCTGACTATATGCAAGTATTAATCGTGCAATGCGATCCTGTTTCCCTACTATTCATGATACACTACTAGTAATCCTAACACATACACCATACACAGACATATTGCCGGACTATCTTCCTAGGCAATCACTTGTTACATAATTATTACTCTCCCCTAAGGGCTCGCCGAGCACACTGGAGTTTGCTATCGATATTTTCCACACGCTTTTATCCAAAATATTATTTAACAACATGGCTTATATGAGTAAACGTGACTTACTTGAAGTAAAAGACGTAGGCCCACTTCCTCCACTCGTAAGGCCCATATTGACTAGAGCCTCCGGCTGACAACTGAATATTATCTTTGAGATCAGATCCCTATGTCTCCTGAATTCAGTTATTTATATCTTTAATTTGCTAAATCAGCGGTTAATGAAAGAGGGAAGTTACTCCTCCTTTTTGTTCTCAATTCTCAAAGTTATATTCTAATTGGCTATTCTCGGTGGTTGTGGGTGGGCCCATGGTGTCTCATCGCTGTGTATTGAATAATATTACCATCTCCAGTGGCCTCGTTAGCAGAGCTTCTTACTTATGTGATTACGCATAAATTCTGATCATCAACATTCTTAACCTAGTTGCCTGTCCAGGTGTTGACATACTAATGTAATGGCTGTGAAACACTTTTCGCAAGTCTCGAAACTTTAAGGCAATGCCTTAAATTTCCAATCTCAAAATTGGTCCGCAACAATATCTATACCAAACCCCGCCTTGATCGTTTCCTTTGAAATTGTGACATGAATCCTGAGGGCCGGAATACTGGAGCCAGAGGAGACGTCCATTGCTAGGCAGCTTCTCAGCAAATAAATTTCCGCGGCAACAGATACGGAAGCAACAGAGAAATTGTTGGGAACAATTCTTCATGTTCGGTCCGTGCAAAGTGGTTATAAAAGAGGGGAGCTATTGAATTGGAATTCAGTGCCCATGTTGAGGCGGGGTCGAATGCCTGGCCCTCCAGGTTGGGGGAGTCTCTAATCTGAGACTGTAGAATGTGGTCATGAGTCCCGTGGAACTCGGACCTGGCAACGAGTGCGCTGGCGAGGACCAGAAGCAATTGTAAACGACAGACCCATCCTCTTTTCTGAGAGGATGTTACATAAGGACATTGACCACAAGTGTTCAGTTGAATAAAAAATTGCTGATCGTGAGTCTCAAGGGGCTTTTCGCCAAGATGAACTGTTTGGCGACAAACCGTGAGTCGTAAAGTAATTCTGACTCTGACTCTCGCTCCGGAGTTCAGTTGGCGGGTCGGGTTGTATGTTCTTCTGTATAGTGCCCCTTAACACCGAATTAAGTCTGTAACAGCGTAAAGAAGCCTGTCGATTATTAACACCAATCTTCCGGCGAATGTGGTTAAAAGTAATATCTTGTTACATTTAATGTCATTATAAACCTATGCTCGTCTTGCATCTACTGTGAAGTAGCATATCTCCGAACAAACAAACTCCATGGCCTATAGTCCGCAAGCGAACTATACCGACCGAGAGATCGCCGGGACGTCTGGATCTGTAGCCAGGAGCTCTGACCACTAGATCACAGGGGCAGTCGTAGTAACATGTCTTATGTGTATATATTTGTCGCACATCCCTGTACTGGTTACTTCAATTTTTATATGTTCGACTGAGCTAACTCCTCTGTAATTATCACGTGCAGCCGCTGTGTTACCACGTAAAGGCACTGAATTGAATTATTTCATTTGAGGGCTGGGTGTTAGGTCTCCTTCCGATGTTCGAAAGTTTGAAATTTCGTCCGTGTCTTCCAGCGTCACTCTGTCACTTTCTCCATGTAAAGTCCAAATATTCCCCTCAGCACCCTGTTATCAAACACCCCCAGTCTCCGTTCACCCCTTAGGGCGAAAGAGAAAGTTTCATGTCCACATAAACTACAGGAAATATTATATATAATTTATAAATTTTGATGTTTGTGTTTTTATACAGCAGAAAGAAGGACAAAATATTCTGAAATAAATGATGGAAAACATCCCACATATTTAACATGCTCAAAATTTCTTCAAGACGCTTGCTCTAATGAACATGAGTTACCTGATAACGTTAATATGTTGGTAGGAGGCGAAGAAGATGAGAGTCAGTGAGCATGCGCCAACTCCCGAAGATGACGAAGTGGTGGAATTATCATGTGACGACATCCTGGCCTCTCCAGAGATGGATAAGACAAAGGACCAACCAGATGAACTTCACGCGACACATCATGACAAGGAACTGGAGGATCTGATGGCTGTGGAGTCGACTGCGCAGGCGTGCATCATGCACGCGCTCCGTATTGTAAGTTGGCCAGCAGACAGGGCAACACTTTCGCTTTAAAAGAAACAGGAATAGCGTTCCTGTTGGGCCTACAAGAATTACAGAAAAGCACACAAGACCACCTCAATACTTACATTTCCATATACAATACATAAAGACATTATAACGTGAGATTTATCCTTGTTTTCGAGCAGTTTCGTGTTACCATAGCAACGAACTGTCGAGCGTTCATGAAAGTAAGTTATGTAGTAGGTTAACAACAAGCGAAATTTCTTCTGTTTCAGTGCATTGTGTCTATTATGTGAGTATTTATAATATTTTGATGAGGATATATATATATATATATATGAAGGAAACGGCTTAAGATTCAGTATTTATGAGTTCCAATCGTAGGAAATGACGTAAAACATCGGCCTCGGCTCTTCATTCGATTAATTGTAACAATGGAAAGCAATGAGGGAAAAAGTGAGGGAAGTTAATTCTACGACAGATCATATAACAAATGATGGGGGATCCCCGTTGAATTCTCAGAGGATGTTACAATAATGTTAGCTTGAAAGGCCAATTAAGGATGTAAGACAGAAGCTTCAAATATAGGTTCAAACTGACGCTGGGTACTTTTGACCAAGTTTAATTCCACCAATTTCCGATTGAAATTTCAGCGAACTGCTTACCAGTTCGCTTAGTGGGGGATGGAGTCCAACCGGGTACACTCGGCACAGCGACCACTGATTGGCCTATTGGAGCCTGCCCCGGGTGATTATTATGATGGAGAATTTGGTGGAATGAAGATTGGCAGGGGAAACCGAAGTACTCGGAGAAAACCAGCCCCCGCGCCACTTTGCCCACCGCAATTCACACTTGACCAGACCCGGGATCGAACCCGGGTCGCCGCGGTGGAAAGCCAGCGACTAGCCGCTTGAGCTATGGCGCGACCTATATAGACCTAACGACCGCCTCTGTGGTTTAGTGGTCAGAGTTCCTGGATAGAGATACAGAGGTCCGGGGTTCGAATCCCGGAGCTACCAGATTTTCTGAGAAATTGTGGGCCTGGAACTGGGTCCAGTCAGCCTCGTGAGGAAAATTAAGGAGGTATTTCAAGGAAATAGCGGTTCCGGTCTAGAGAACCGAAATTAACGGCCGTGGGGATCCGTTGCGCTGGCCACGCGACACCCTCTATCCGCTAAAGTTGACACTAACTTCGCTGACAAGCGGCGATCGCTCAGTCAGTATAGTTAGCTTGCGGACTAAAGCCACGGAGTTTTTTCGTACAGCCCTAATAATATTTTATGCTTATATCAATATAATTGTGACGTTACTGGTACTTTATGTGAAACTGCCTGAATTTGTCTTGTTACAGGAACAAACAACAGACACCAACCAGAATTCTGGATCCGTGACGTCAGACCAACCTTCCGTCATGGTGTCAATCACTAATGGCGAATTAAGTGCCCAGGAATGACTTACGAGTGATTTTAACTCACAAATTGTACATAGCCACAAGAAGAAGACAAATCTGAGTGCCATACAATCGTGTGACAGTTGAGTGCTGGTCAGAACCGTACTCCTTCCTAATCCTTTCCCCGCGTCTTACACCAAACATAAATACATATCACCTTCCCGTGTGGTGGCAACAAGAATGCAATTTTTTTTTAAATATTGGCGTTTTAAAAGAGATGAAAGTAATCAGAGACTGTGAAGGGCGTGTTTATAAATAATAATTTATCTAGAATTTGCGAAGTGACATTGATTCCTTGAAGAACATTTGACAAAGACTTGTACTGCACAATTTTTTTCAAATGTCCGACAATTTATATGCATGTGAATATATCCATAAAGAAACCGTTGTATGGGTTGAAAAGAAACATGAAAAGTTCAAAAACATTGTTAACATCAGGTATCTAACTGTCATGACCCAAGTTACGAGTATTAAGTACATTAATTTCAGAATATAAACTTGTGTAAAATATATCAAATTAATATTGGACACATCAGCGTTCCTTAGCTGCATGCTGTACAATCGTCTTTCACCGCATATACCTTTTTTAAATGGGCTGCATTTTGAAAAGTAACTAAGTAAAATGTAATTTTGCATTGAAATGCATTCCCCATCATTGAAATTGTACGTTCCGTTATGTCCTGTTGAACGTGTTAACGCCTTCTTTGAGACACTCAGAACTGTGATCGATTTTATACTACTCGACGAACTTACTTATTGTTCTGTTGCTCTTGAAGAAACATCTGGTTGATGTGAATCCTGTTGAAGTTATTCTCATATTGTGTGACAATATTCAGCGCCCTCAACTTTCAACGTACCCAACTGACGACATCACATGAAAGATTACACTAAACCTTAAAATGGTATGTCTTAAATCATTTATAAAAAAAAAAAGTGTTCTCATAATTTTGGGGCTGAAATCTTAATATAATCTCACTTAGTTGTCTTCCTGAAGCATGAATTTACATATCCAAAAACTATTTGTGGCCATTTTATAAAAATAATATACGCTGAAAACGAAAAATATATTAGAGACAGTATTCGAGAGACAAAATTAAAAATTACAAGCCAACATCACGTGGTTTGTCCAAGCGGTCACCCAACCAAGTACTAACAGCGTCCGATGTTGCGTAACTAAATGAGCTGAAAAAAAAAAAGGTCTGGGGGTTTAAGCTGCAAGTTTATATACACAGATTATCTGTAAGACCGAAGCCATGAATTGTGTCAAAATCTGTAAAAACATTGGATGTATCGGAGTACACTGAAATTGATTAAAAAAAGTGGAAGTTTTGAACGCCTGTATATCAGAGTACACTGAAATTCATAAAAAATGGGTGTTTTGAACGCGTGCTTATCGGAGTACACTGAAATTGATAAAAAAAGTGGAAGTTTTGAACGCGTGCGTATCGGAGTACACTGAAATTCATTAAAAAGTGGATGTTTTGAACGCCTGTGTATCAGAGTACACTGAAATTCATAAAAAAATTGATGTTTTAAACGCGTGTGCATCGGGGTACGGTGAAATTCATAAAAGAAGTCGTTTTGCTCTGTATAAAGACTTTTGTTGTACAATTTTTTTCATTTACTTTACCTAGTAATTCTATTCATTTTCTTTATTGAATGGATATTTCAATGATTGGGAACCAAGGACACTTCGATTACTCTCGGTTTCCGCCTCTGTGATATTTGGCGTTTTCAAGGTCGTGAAGGTTCGCAGTTTGATCTTCTGGAGTACGACGCTATACAACTTGCCAAGTGGTTACAGACGTTTCGGAAAATAATCTTGCCTCAATGTTCAGGTTACCCCGAAACGCTGATAAACACCTAAGGGATTGCATGGTGCCATAACCCAAAACACCACAATGTTGATTCTTTCTGTCCCGTTTGAATATACAAACTAATGAGATAAAAACCAGCATGTTACTACGTATCTTGACTCAGTCCTTCAAGACACAAATATTTCTTACCATATTTATTAAGATAAGATGGGGTTTCGTTACAGTGCACCGCCTCCAAAGAAATTAATACTGTTTAGTTTCATCAGTGCGTATATATTTTGTGATGTCGTCTTTAAAGCAAATTTTATTTAATTTGTATCGTGGGACGTGCGTGAATCCGATGAGCGAAATGCAACAGAGTTGTATCCCGACAAATCTATATTCAAGACTTTTCGATTGTGATTCAATGCCTGTTAGCTTTGTGATTGTGACGCAGCTTGAATTAAAATATGTCCGCTATTTTAAACCCGGTGATTGGCTGGATGTAACTCACGGGCATTTTATCCGGTGCATAAGCCAAAAACACGACTTCCTCGTATTCTTAATTAAGCTTCGTAGAAACAGATACGCAACATATAAATTCCTCATGAAAAAACAAAATTAAATTTCGATTCAATTCTTGTATTTTTTCCCCCCTGACGTTTTCCTCTCCATGTTACTCTAGAATTATTTTATATTTCTGCTGTAATTTCTTGCTATTAATAAAGGGACTGCTTTATGTGATGATTAAAACGTGATATTACTGGGCATTTGATCTGAAAGTAAGATTTAATTTCATGCAAAATGGTTTAGAAAAATGAAAAGCTTTTTCGAAATACTCTCGATGAGGTAAAATATTTTTTTTAGGACACGTGCCCCAGTGATTGCCTTACAGTACTGCTTCCTGCTCTGTGTTTTGACAGTTCCAATATATCTCACAGGCAGTGACACAGCATATGTTTATTAAAGAAGCGTGTATATTGAGGGTTATGTTTCGGCGCCAAAACGCCGTCCACAGGTTCAAATACCAGTACAGACATAAACAAGAAATATGTTAATATACGTGTAAAACAAATTTATTTAATTTATGTTATGCAATAGATTAATTGAAGTAAATTCCAATACTATTCCTTTCAATACATTAATGCAAGACTTAAATTATGCCTCTATAATATCTGCTCCACAATGCAATGGTGCTGCGTGAGATTACTAGTGTGCATGCGCTGGTTTCAATTAGTACTGATTCTGCCGGTAGATGGATCTGCCAACAATAGTCCCTCTGTCGCCTGCTGTTGTAACATTCATGAAAGTTTTTATACGGGAGAGCTACTTTAACCCTATTTTTTCATGTTATTCCATACTAAATATTATGGTTGGATTGTGAGCCCAGGTTAATATATATTTAAAAAAAAACGGAACACAGATTCCTCCAGGGGTTAAGATAAATACTGTCATAGACACAATCAGTTTCCAAGCAAGAGAAATGTTAATGGTATAATTATTATAAAATATATTTATTTATTATTGTGAATATAAATTCACCCAGTTCATAATTATTATTATAAACATATATTGTGTGACTGTATACATAATATATATCACTACTCGTAGATACTACTATGAAATACCGACCCTTCCATTCAGTGACGTGTGAAATCTGTGACACAGTCTAATATCTGTGAATATTTTATTAAAATTATTCTCCTTAGTTTTCCATAGCCGGAATTTAATGTAAGATATCAGCTTCCGGGCATGCGCCGTGTATACTCTTTACGTAATACTTCGCGCGTCTGACTCCCGAAAGCGGAAGTCATACACCTCTTTCAAATGATTTACTTCAACACTGCATGTGTATTACTCAAACTGTGGATAAGACACTATAAAACAATAAATACAGCTCATGTACACTTGGGTGTTAATTGGATTATTTTTAAAGTGTTAATACATTTAAAACTCATCATACAAGTTACTAGAACCCTGTTTGTAAGATATTTCTTATAACACACATATATAAAATATTTATTTTAAGCTGAGAGACGAAATCTTAATAAAAATGTGATATTCATAAATAATCGTTTTCCTGATTTAATGCAAATCTAACGAATCACTTTATGGAGCAGAACCCTAATTGAGCAGCTGAGGACTACTGAAACCATCAACAAATCCGCTTCTTTATAGAACCCAGTGGTACAATGTCTTGTTCGTATCGTTCTGTAGTGACCGTTATTCAGAGCCACGCCGATGCACGGAAAATTACGGTTTTCACGTTAGTGTCTTTGGATGTGATGCTGTGTAGTCTGGTATGTATCTATTGTTTCGGAGTAACCTGCTGCCTACGTCTTCAGTGTAGAATAGTCTAAAACCTGAATATGGAGCTAGCACGTTCCTTCAATATGAATATAAATATTTACCAAACTATACGGCGTTATATCGAACAAGCAACCCACATTCGAATCCATTTCATATCCTCAAACTCTAGTTATACAACTGTATGTTACGGTAAATGTGAATAAACTGGTGATTACATGGAAATACCAAAACCAAATCTCGTGATACGAATAATAGTAACCTCTACTGGTAATTATGAACAATTGCCGGTTACCGCTATTAATTATATTACATTATGCTGATAACGTCTGGGTTCCAGTTGATCCAGAATATGTACAGCAACACTTGCACATCGCTTAAACAGCCATAGCTGTTGCCTCTACAGGTAATTTTGAATGTAAAAGCAAAATTATCCTTGTTCTTAACTAATTAAGCTCTACGCCATAAAGGCGTATGGGGGTGGATGCAGAGATGCACATTTTCCTGACCTTAGCACTAGCTGGAGATGAGTGGTCAGTTTCACACACACCGGCCGCTTTACCCCAGGTAAACGCACCGTTACGCATTGAACAGGAGGTTGGGTGGACCCCAGAGCCTGTCTGGACGACATGGAGAACAATTGCCGATCATTATTATTAATTACATTGAATTTGCTGATAAAATAAGAGAAAACTGTGAAATCTGAATTTGAATTTATCCAAAATCTGAGTGGCAAAACTTGAACATCGCTATAACAGCGGCGGCGAATCTACGGAGTTTTCGGTTTTCTCCACCAGATGGCAGCACGAGATAGGAGACGGAAAGTTTCATTTTTCCGTACATACTGAACAAGTTACCCTGAGGGTCTGCATGGCAATTCAGGAGTCGAACAAACTTCGTTACTGCCCCGCTCTCGCATATTGCCGATTTATTATAAACACTCTGACAAAACTCACATTAGGCGAAAAGACGAGAATCCTAGCTGAAATCTGCCATGTTGTAGTGGAAAGTGCTTGTAATGTGTAGGTGAGAATGAACCAGAAGAGAGAAAGTACAAAATGGTCTTCTCCTCTGTCGCTGCTGAGATATTCAGGTGGGTATCTCCATAACATGATACTGCTATTGTGTGGGGCGTCGCGACGCGCCGGCGTACAGCGTGGAATGGAAAATGTTTTCAAATGTGAAAGAGGAAACAAAAGATGTAGCCATGACCCACATGTTTCAGCAATATGCGTTGGAGCATTGAAGTGGACAGAGCTTGGATGGAGCTCTCTACTGGCTGTACGCATAACAGGATATCGAATGGGCTGAGGGCTTTGAATGCTCGTTAATCAGCGGCAATCGCTGACCTTATCTTCGTCATAGTTTTGGTACTGACTAGCTGATAAGGGAAAATGAAACAGGAACTACAGTCACCAAACACGTGC